AGGAAAAATATAATGAGATGGTGTGGTTAATGCTGCTAAAACCTCCACAAAAGCTCCCCCCACCAATAGATATCAGAGCAAATACTTTTTTTTTTTTGCTGCATTCTGCTTGCAACACCATCTCAGGAATGTGTTTATTATCCACATCTTTAAACCCCAGCCTGTAGGTTTGCTTGGTTTAAAATAACAACAGCAAATGGGAGAAAGCTGATTTGGGTTAGGGAGAAGCAGGGGGGAACAAAATAACATGTATTTTAAAAGTAACAAAACAGATTGAAAGAACAGCATTCTGACTTATCTGATTTCCTTTGTACTGTACATCTTTTTACTTTGGAATTTGCAATAAAAAGGTATGTCCATCTTGTTTTACCCTCTTCTCTTGGATTAAATGTTATTCTACATCTGAGGTTGAAAGGTTAACAGGGCTGGTTGCAGGTTCTCATTTCAGTAATGCCACTTCAGTTACTGACTTCCATGGAAATGAAGTCAAGGATAACAAAATAAAATTAAACTCTATCCATGGGCAGCTGAGGCAACCCTCCTGGCTGAGGAGTTCTGGGAGTCGAAGTCCACAAGTCATAAAGTCGCCAAGATTGGAGATCCCTGTTCTATGGGAAGGAAAGTTGCTGCTACAATCCCAGAAAGCTTTGTAGGCAAATGAGTCTGGGAGGATCTGCCTGAGAGAGAGGATTGAAATAGGTCTGAGATCTCAGATCTGAAAAATCTTATTCTCGGAACAGATCCAGCTCTAGCCACAGACCTTCTGTGATCTCAAACCACCAGCCATTAGGCCTCTGCATGCATGTAAAAAGCACACATTTTGGAATCTCAGCATAACAGATACTCCTAAACTAAACAAATTGTGCCTTATACCTTTTCTTCCTATTGGTTTCAAAGAGAAGAAAAAATTGAAAGGAAAATAATTGTTTAAAAAAATAAAGAATTAGTTGTCTGCGAATTCTCACTTCCCCTTCCTTATATTTATTTGTTATTGTTCCAGACTGCCCAAGTGATTCTCCAGATCATTTATAAGCCAAATCAAAGGAAAGAAAATGTTAAAGATTTTTTAAAATCGTGTTCACGTTTAGTCCAGTGGGTCTTAGGTACAGTTCACTCAATTTAGATTCACCCCAACTATATTATTTTAAGGCAGCTGGGGCTGATTTTAAAAAAAATGTTTATAATAAGATGGCCTGATGACAAGAATACTAGACTGTGTGATTATGAAAACACAGCTGCCTTTTTTCTCTGGTAGTAATTTCCAAGCTTATCCATTAATATACTAGAATATACATATATAGCAACAGCAATAGCAGCAGCANTATGCAAATGAGGCACATGATTCTCCCGCCTCCTCCTGCAGAGGGCACTTTGTTTAGAGCCTATTTTAAAACGTTCAAGCAGAGTCATCCACGTGGTGACTCTAGCAGCAACTAGCCTAGCCTGCCTGGCCCTGTCTAGACCAAATCTAGCATTTTTGACGTAGCTGGAAGGTATGTGGGAGCGAGGGGGCAGGAGGGAGGAATTCAATTTATTTGTAATGTAAGTAATTGTAATTTGTTTTTATTATGTGTATGTGCGTGTGTGTGTGATTTTTTTTTTACCCGCCTCGGCTGGCACATCTATTTTTATTTTTCATTTTTCATTTATTATATTTCATTTTTTATTTTTCATTTTTCATTTTATTTTTTTATTTTTTAAAGCCATAGAGCAAAACATGTCCTGGTTTGTGGCTGGGCGGCATGCATTTTAAAGTGCAAGCGTGCAGCCCAGCCACAAACCAGGACATGTTTCACTGAATGGCAGCCAAGGGGCAAGCTAAAGTGCCGGCATGACTTTGAAGTGCCAGTTTGCCTTCTGCGCGTGCCCGCGCAGAAGGCAAGCAGGCATTTAAAGCCATGCTGGAAGTTTAGAACTCGGCTGCCATTCAGCGAAACATGTTTCGTTGAATGGTGGCCGAGGGGGAAAGCTAAAGTGCCGGCATGCACTTTAAAGTGCCAGAGCGCCTATCCGCCATAGAGTAGGCTTGTTCTCTGCTTTAAGGGGCTTTGCGTGGGAAGGGGGCTCTCCTTGGCGTCCCCCCTCTCCTCAGGTGCAGCTGGGGTGAGGGGGGTGGATGGCGTGTGCGCGCACACTATTCCGGTGGGTGGGGGGAGGTGAAATGTTACAAGGAAAATCCTGGCCCGTGAGGGTGGGCGGAGGCAGGGGACTCTGCCAACGCCAGCTGCTGCTGCCCCTCCTCGGTGCATCTAGTGTGCGAGGCTGCTGGGGGAGATTATTCATTTCTTGCATTCAGATGCTTGCTTAAAGCCCCCGCCGCCCCCCTCACCCAGCTATAGCAAGCGAGCGTGCGCTCAGAGAGGCAGGCTCCGAGCTGAGCCCTCCGATCCTTATGCTGTGGGGAGATGAACCCTTCAGCTTGTCCTACCTCCCCTCCCCAAGCGGGTGCCCTCCTCCTCCTTCTCCTCTCCTTCAAAGGCAAGAGGCAGGCAGGTTGTTTTTTTTCCGGAGCGGCTTGGACCCTGCCTAGATTGGAGGAGTGGGGGGAGTAGAAAATAGAGGTCCCGCCCGCTTGCCTCACCGGCCGTGAATTTCACCGCACATCACTGATATAATATAACTCAGACATTATTAAACATATTTGTTACATTTAGCATACATTTGCATATTCATATTGAATTTTCACTTTTTTTTAAATCAGTAATTCTATGTATTGTTTTTATGACAATCCCCTTATTGGATAGGGATAGGCCACAGTCAGTAATGATGGGATCTCACCATTCTTCTACTCTGATATTAAGCACAGGAGCCCCCCAAGGTTGTGTGCTAAGCCCCTTCCTTTATTCTTTGTACACACATGACTCTACCAAATTGTATAACACCAATGCAATAATTAAATTTGCGGATGACAAGAAAGTGGTGGGGCTCATTAATAAGAACCATCAGTCTGCTTATAG